TTATTTAATAAAGTGACCAGTAAGCGCCCCGGAACATCGGGTGATAGCCGCTTGTGTAAATAATTCATACTTTATTATTCAATAGAGAGGCCAGTATGCGCCTGGGGTCACTTGGTGATAGGCATTTGTGTTAATAATTAATATTTTATTATTTAATAGAGAGGCCAGTAAGCGCCCTGGGTCATCGGGTGACAGGCGCTTGTGCTATAAATTAATAATAAATATCGTTTAATAAAGCGACCAGTAAGCGCTCCGGGTCACTTGGTGATAGGCCCTTGGGTTATTAATTAACCTTTTATTAATTTATACAGTAGCAAGTAAGCACCCTGGGTCATTGGGTGACAGGCGCTTGGGTTATTCATCAATAATATATATCGTTTAATAAAGCGACCAGTGAGCGCCCCAGGTCATCGGGTGATAGGCACTTTTGTTAATAATTAATATTTTGTCATATAATAGTGTAGCCAGTTAGCGCCCCGGGTCATTGGGTAATAGGCGCTTGTGCTATTACTTAATATAATATTATTTCACAGAGTGCTCACTTCAGTAAGTAGTAATATGCTTTAAGGAGGCTTGGGCGATTTTGAATTAAATTTTGGCTAGGTCTGAAATTCGGAGATTATATAGATAAAATTTGCTAGATTTTTTTAGGAAAACAAAATAGGTAGGTCAACACATTTATTTTCGAGAAAATCGCTTGTGAAAATTCGTCATTTTAACACGCAACCTTACGGAACCCGAAATTCAATAGACTACTGTACCGCAATAAAAAGCTGTGGGCCCACACATTAAATTGGTACATGTACTTGAAAGTATAACTAATCTATTGTTTAAAAAAAAAATTAGGATCAACACGTTAAATTTTGAGAAAATAGCGAGGAAAACATCGAACATGAGAATTGTTTTGTTCAGGTCAGTGTTGGGAGATAGTTCCGGCCAGACTTGGGAATTCTCTAGGACCCAACCTATCTGACGTGGAAAATCAATAGATCAAAAAAAAAAGTACCGAAGGCGACGAGCGAGATTCAAATGAGGTCCAATAACACGAGCATCCATCACCTGATGACCCAGTGTGCTTACTGGCCACTCTGTTAAATAAATAATTATTAATAAACAACACAAGCGCCTATCACCACATGACCCGGGGCGCTTACTGGCAACTCGGATGAATAAATAATTTTTAATAACAGAAGCGCCTATCACCCAATGACCCGGGGTGCTTACTGGCCACTCTGTTAAATAAATAATCAATAAAATAACACAAGCGCCTATCACCTCATGACCCGGGGCGCTAACTGGCCACTCTGTTACATAAATAATTATAAAAATAACACAAGCGCCTATCATCACATGACCCGGGGCGCTTACTGGCAACTCGAATGAATAAATAATTTTTAATAACACAAGCGCCTATCACCTCATGACCCGGGGCGCTTACTGGCCACTCTGTTAAATAAATAATTATTAAAATAACACAAGCGCCTATCACCNGTAAGTGCGCATGCGCTGTACATTCATAAACATACAAGCATGAAAATTTAAGTCTAACACAAGTATAGGTATATAATAGCAGATGAGAGCAAGAGAGTACAGTGTTGTCAGCTTTATCGTGGCAGGGCCGTCATCTTTACACAAGGTACCTCGGGAAAACTAATAAATTTTTTAATATCGATTTTCCCAATGACTTTTCCGTGTATTATTGCTATTTTGTTTACACATGTGTATAATCAAAATGATTATAAAAAAAATATTACAAAGAATCATTTGTATGACAAGTACCCCACAGGGGCCCCTCAATAGATACGACACCAAACGCCCAAGCCTCCTTAAGGTTCTAACATATACCTAAAAATGACTTTAATAAGTAACTAAGTCTCGTGGAGATCTGAAAATCGGAAAAAAAGCAATTTTCAAAACTTAAGGAGATTTTTTTACTCGAAAACTCTTGGGTTTAGGTATACACATCTTCATTGGTTTTTTATTCCAAACGTGCCAAAGAATCTGGAAATATTTTTTTAGATCAAAAATAACTTCGATAAAATTGTTAAAAAAAAATTAGGTTACACAATAATTTACCTAGTTACCGACTGCCAACCTGCACTTTCACATTGAGGAGCCTGTTCTGAACGTAATCCTGCAAAAAAATTATAGTCGAAAACTTTTTGCACTCAATGACGGATAATGTCAGGACTACCTTACTTAAACTTATCAAAAATTTTAACAGTTGAAGAAATTTTTTTTTTAATTTTAATAGACACGTCACGGTTAAATTAGAAAAAAAATTTTTTTTTGATAATGTAACTTTATTTACACATTACGTCAAGAGTAAAAACTTAAGTGTACAGAGCACAAATTTACAATAGAAAAATTTGATTCTTATTAAATGCTAGTGTAAAAAATTTTGTTTACATATATGGATAACTTATGCCTTATAATCATAAGACAATCAGGGCAAAATATAAGAACCGTTTAAAAATGTGTGTGCAATTGTTTAATGATATTTTAACATTTATTTATAGAGTATAACAAATTCTATGATCAAGATGTATTTGGCGAGTCACCAATAAGTTACTACAACTATGCCGCTTTCAATACGCTACTAAATACAAAGTATTTATTTTATAGAAAAATGATTCATAACTTAGTACTAAGACTTGCACAAAAAATTAAGAATTTTTTTGACATATTATATTTCTTATATTTTTGTATCCATGTGTTTAAGTGCAAAATCATATGTTTTAGCAACAAAAAGTTGTGATCGGCAGTATGCAATAGGTTCGTTTGGGGCTTAGCTTGGAGCAGCTCGGAGCTCCTCGGAGCTCCTCTGAACTTTGCCCCAAAACACGCGTTTTATTCCGAGCTCATCAGAGCGACTCCGAGCAAATTCCTACAGTCGGTATATCTATATTTGTGGCCAAGACGTAATTATTTATGTTGCCAAGATTGTAAATATAGATATACCAACTGTAGGAATTTGCTCGGAGTCGCTCCGATAAGCTCGGAGCAAAACGCGTGTTTTGGGGTAAAGTTCGGAGGAGCTCCGAGGAGCTCCGAGCTGCTCCAAGCTAAGCCCCAAACGAACCTATTACTTGCAGTTTAATAACTTATAATACGAATAATACCGTATTTAGTTGTCCTCCTGTTGCATCTGGAGCTCTCGAAGTAATTTTGCTCTTTTTTGCTCCAGCTCATCTTCAGAAAGTTCTGTATGCACATTTTCGTTAATAGAACCGTCACTCTGAGTAGATACTCTGCGGTGCTTCTCTTCTTTTCTTCTTCTATCTGGAGATTCATCTGACGAAGGCATTCTTGAGTGTGACCTCTTTAAAAATAAAGATTATGGCGTTATAAATTATAAGCTTTCTGTAGTCTTACTACATACTGCATTATAGATTTGGTTGAATGAGTCCATGTATAACTTACAGATTCACTTCTGTCATGCTTTTTTTTGTTCTTTTTCTTCTTTTTCCTTGCATCTACAGATTCAGAACTGTCTGACTTGCTGCCAATACTTGCGGATCGCGATCTGTGTTTCTTTTTCTTAATAAGTCCTTTTTCACTACCTTCAGAGTCCTATGAAGAATAATGTTTAGTAAAAATTGAAAGCATGAAAAATTACTACTGTTATTAGTATTTTTGTCGCTACCATATATCTTAATGTTATTGCCTATTTAACTATAGATCTGCTAATTTATTGACACTTAAATGAAAAAAGTATTCATCTTATTTTAACAAACAGGAGGTATGTATACCCATAATGCAAATATATGCAATCATAGCAGTAAATTGATAGGTGATCGTATAACCATGGAAAAAAAGTTTTAAAAAAACATTAGAACTTACACTGTGTGACTTGGAACGCGATCTTCTTTTAGGTTTTTTTGCTTTTTTCTTTTTATTTCTGATGTGATGATGACTACAACTTTCTTCAAGCTCATGCTGATATTCTTTAAAAATCCTTACTCTTTCACTTTCAAGAGTTACAGCTTGGAAATCCGATTCTTCTTCAATTTTACTACGAATCTCGTCCCAAGAATGTTGATAGTTGACTTCAATGGACTTTAACAAATTTTTGAAAGCTGTTTCCAACTTTTTGAACTTGCGCGTCTCTTCTTTGACCCGTTCTTTTTCCCTAGCTTCAGCTTTTTCTAACAATAAATTGTATGTAAGCTTGACATTACCAGCATCTAAGGTTGCCGATTTTCTATCTTCACAGACAACTGTAGCAAACTCTTCAAAGGTAGTATTCACTTGTACCTCGAAATTTTTTTCTTTTAATATCTCTCGAATAATCTTTTTTTCATCGTGAAATCTGGATTTGAGATCTTCAACATAAAATTTGAAAAGATCTAGAGGAGTTGAACCTGGCTGTCCAAGCATTGCTGAAAATCTGAGGTCTGCCGAAAGCATGGGGTACAATTCCACCCACAAAGACATTGATGTAAGTTTTCCTTGTTCATGCAACTCATCTAACAGGCTCTGAAAATTAAATCAAGTTTATCAATCATCGTTTAAAGGATATGTAAAAAACTAAAAATTTATCAAGTAAAAACGGACAATGAAACCATCTCGATTTTTGCGCTCTTGTCGTTTCTTTCGTTTCTTTTCCCGTTCTTTTTCCTCTTCTTCGTCCTTTTCTAACTGACGGACATGATTTTCAAAAACCAACAATGCATCCTCTTTGTCCATTTGCAACAAGTCCGCGTCTTCCGCGAAAGCAGAATTTTCCAAAAGCAATGCCTGGGCTTCCTGCCAAACCGTTTTGTAGGTAACTTCTGTCATAATATCCAAAACTTGAGCTAATTTTTTTGTGTTTCTCTTCTTTAATTGCTTTGACTCTTCTTTCTCACGTTTTGCTAAATTGAAAATCACGTCTTCATATATGTTACGTCGATCTTGATCCCCTACTGCGCGCCAGATTTCCAAGTTACCATAAATCTCTTCACACTTGTAATACTTTGTAGTACTTGTCATTCTTTCATTTTCAAGTAAAAACTGCTCTAAATCCTCTTTAGCTTTTTTCAACCTAAACAGAAAAATATTTTTAAAATTAATGGTGAAAAATACTTGTACAACGCACATTTTTCAAAAAAAGAAACTTCTACTCATACCTTAATCTTTCCAGCTCTCTTTCCTCTTTCAACTTGTGTGTTTTATAAGCATTAAAGGCTTGTTTCCTCTCATTTAACTTCTTCATTTGAGGATAACGAGGATCATTTTGAATCATTTTCACTGCTTGTTCCCATGTAGCATTAGAAGGCACGTCCTTTTCTCTAAGCAATTCTTTGAAAGCCTCAATTGCTTCTTTTCTGTCTTTAAACTGCATTTTAGGTTCTGGCGTGCTGTTACGACTACCATTTGTCGAGTCCTTGGCTGAATTGCTATCTTCATCGAGCTGCTTTGTAGGTGGAGTAGGAAGATTTATGGCTGCGAGTGTAGCTGCCATAGCTTGTTCGATGGCCGACTTACCACCTGGCTCAATACCAGTTTGAGGGATTAAGCCTGGAGACAAGTGAAGTAGTGGCACTCCACCTCTGCTAATTAAAAAACAAAATGCTGGTTAGTAATACTCATGGCATAATAACACTGTTGTGATAAAAATTATACAGGTAAAATAAAACTTTATTAGAGGTAAGTAAACCTTACGTATTAGTAGCACTGGCCACAGCAGCAGCTGCAGCTGCAGCAGCCTCTTCAGCACTAATCTTGTTTTTTAATTCTTCAAGTTCAGGTGGAATAATCCACCTGGATTCTTTAGTTGACACATTGTGATAGTAAACTTTTCCATTTTCAGATTTATACTCTTTCCATGGACACTGAGACAGAAGGAGTTCACTCGGGGTTTTTAATTCGTCTGGCTTTTCCCAGAGTGACTGCTTTGTTATACAATTGTAGTAATATGTACGACCATCTGGTGCCTTATGCTCAGTCCAATCAGATTTCTTTTCTGCCAAAACACTCGTGGCAATGTCAGTAGCTGTAGGTGCTGGTGGTGGCATTCCTGGAGCTGCTATGTGTGTAGGAGCCACTAGAAGTTCATAAAATAAAAAAAGTTCTGGTAAATTATCATTTTAATTAAATAATAATAGTGATAACAGTAATAGGAATAATAATATTGATGATGTGAAAAAATATAATTACCAATGACACCCGCTTCTGCTGGTCCTGCCATTGGAAACCCAAACCCTGGAGGAGGGATGGAAAATTGAGGTGGCATAAGTCCTGGCGGACCTGGCGGTAGGCTTGTTGAAGGCATAAACGGAGCTGCCGGCATCATTGGAGGTACAAAAGCAGGTGGTGCTGGTGGAAAACCAGTAGGGGGAATTCCATCACTGGAAGCCTGATGGAAATAAAGTTTGACATTGGTGTTTTTTTTCCACTCAATATCTAGCGGTGATCAAAAATTGAGGAAGGTATAACATTTAGATATCATAGAATTAAATCTGTAGAAAATCAGCTAAATGTCTAAAGGGACATTTTATATATTTTACATAATCTAATCTCTAGATTGCAATCAAAATAGTGAATAATGTTAGTACCTTCAGAAACTCCGCGGAAACAGCTGTTAAAGTTAATTTTGCAAATATTTTGGAAAAGGTAAGTGAGTTGCGAAATATGAAAGTTTTCTATGAATTTGCCATTTAACTTTAGTTTTATCCCATTTAAAAATTTCGAACAAAATGTATTTTAGTCTAATGAAATACCAGTAGTGAGTGAGGTGAAGAGCGTGCTTGGACAGTCACAACAAATGTAAACCTAAATTCTTTTATTATTTATGTACATTTTAAAACCATTCTGATGAACGGCTCTGCTGGCGTGTGCACTCTATCTCCCTCACTCTGGTATAGCATTGGACAAAAATACATTAAATATTTTATCCTCAAGTTTTGTATGCATGGAACAAGTCAGCAGTAAAATTATAATCCGGTAAAAAATATTACGCTTTGAACGCTAGTATTCATATTAACTCGATTCCTTACAGTAACCAAGATAATTGCGAAATGAACTTGAAAAACTAATTCAGTGGAGTTTATGGTGTGACAATTTTATTTCTATCACGATATACGAGTTTAACAACGTTTAATATCAAAATTGGACAATAAAAATAGAATCTTGCAAATTTTCCAGCAGTCTATTTTTGACAACTTTAAGTTAAGAAGCGCTCTATAAAACTTTACCCTGTATATTATGCATAACCTTTAAGAGTGTGAAAATATTTTAAAGTAGGGATACGACGTCTGATTCAAAAGTCAAGCTTATACCTCCACTGAAATTTCAATAGCTACGACTATACTAATGGATGATAAGTAAACAATATGAAAGTATAATTATATTGTCTGCTAACTCACCATGTTCAGGCGTGTTTGGGATGAGAAATACTAACAGCCGACGGGAGCATCGGGTCATAACTTGGCTGTCACATGTCACATCCAGTGATCCAGTTCGGGTTGGGTATATGGGTATTCGCTCCGAGCCGATGCAGAGGTTGCGCTCCCTCTAGCCAAAATCAGGCAACATTTCTTGCATGTAAACAAACGGTTTAGAACATATATACATACGTACAGCTGCTTGTGATTGGCACTTGGCAAGCTAGAGAGAGAACGAAGATCCTCTCCTGCTGTCTTATTCAGCCAATCACAAGCAGCTATACGCATGTATATATGTTCTAAACCGTTTGTTTACATGCAAGAAATTTTGCCTGATTTTGGCTAGAGGGGACGCAACCTCTGTATCGGCTCGGAGCGAATACCCATGGTATACCGTATACCGTATACGTTTTTTTGTGGTCAGTGTTATAACTTATACCTTGGGTTGGGCCGTTGAGAGCACGAAGTTGTTGGTGGCGCTTTTCGTCCAACAGATGGCGTTATTCGGGTGGGTTCGTTATCCGCCAGCTTTGAGTAAACAGCCCCGATTAAAACCGTAGTCTCCGTTTGCCTTAAGCTACTATCAGGGCCATCTCATGCAACCTTAAGCTAATTGCCATGGCCGCCATAGATGGTGCATGTTGCCGTGCGTGTACGGACTGTTTAAGGCAAACTTAAGTTCCGGGAGCCGGAAACAGTCGGTACAGAGCCCGGATAGTCAGAATGCGTCTGCTTCAATTTCTCTCAGTAAAGATATTGTGATAAACTTAATCACACTATCTATGTAGTATACTTATTATTCTAATGATATGTATTTTTTAATAATTTTATTGTAAGATGGATAAAAAATTCCAGTCTTGTTTGAATTATAAAAAAATACAAATGAGCTGTCTTCGGAAACGGAGATCAGAAGAACTCCAAGACGTTGAAAAATCTTTTAAAATACCAAAATTTGTAAGTAATGTACCAGTGCTAAATAAAACGTTAATTGAAAGTGAGAACAGTGACATCGCAATTCAAAATTACAATACGGGTTTCAATATACCTTATCGTATAGATTTTAAAATTATTGGAAAAGAAGATGATTTGTTTGATAATAGCAAATATCGCTTTGCTGTAGATGATGATGGTGATGATGATGATGATGGTGGTGATGGTGGCATGGTGAGAAAAAAAACGTTGATCAGCTGTGTGAAAGTGATAGCAGACGTATTTAAACTATCCGGGCTCTATACTGCCTGTATCCGGCCCCCGGACCTTAAAGTTGCCTTAAACGGTCAGTGCACACACCTGGAATCTCAATTCCCATAGGGCACGTTCGACTTTTATCGTTCGTTCGTTCGGCTTGTTCGTTTCGTTCGTTTCTCTCGTACAGTTTGTGGTGTTCAGTCATTTCTTATGCTCGTTAGACGTGGTATCTATTTTAAAAAAAGCTCACATATTAATATAAAAGACAATAATTTAGTACCTTTGTGACACTTGGTAACTATTATTGTTTCCAGAAGTGGATGACTTGAGCCAATGAATACAAAATGTCTGAACTCACTTAGTGGGTATAAGCAAACTGTACGACCGAAACGAACGAAACCAACGAACCGAACGAACGAACGATGGAAATCGAACGTGCCCATACACTTCGAGATCTTCGAGATCCGATTGGCTAAGTAACATAAATATATAAAAAAAA